GAGGAAGCTCCTCTTCCAAACGCAGCTTCCAATCGACCCCCCCCCCCCCCCCCATTCCCCACAGTGAGTTGTCCCTCCTCAGTGAGGTGCGCGCGTGGACTTGGCAGGAAGCGGGAAACGGAGGGAAAGCGCCGCCCCGCGCGCCGCTGCCTGGCCTGGTTTCGAATTCAAAATAGGTGCAGAAACTGTGCTGGGAAGAGCGAGATGGAGGGACTCATCTAGGGCACGAAGTGTGTGTGTGTGTGTTGGTGGGGGGGGGGGGGGGGGGGGGGTCTGAAGATGCTCTGCGGGCTGGTTTTGTGCTCGTCTCGGGTCACTCCAACCGTGGTGGACGGCTCACACGTCGGTAGCTGCGCGGAGCAAAATGGGAGTCTTCACCCCCCCCCCCTGCCGAGGTGCCACATTTAGATCAATATTATTCCTCTCCAGATTCAATTTATCTCCCTCAGAGTCCGACTTTGATTGGCTTGTGGATATAAGGTCACCCAGCATTAAACCTTCAACACCCCCCTCCCTCCCACCTCCACCCTCTGTAGACTGAGGAGGAGCAGGGAGATATGTGGGTTGTTTTTTTTTTAGGATTTTGGATTTTGATCTGGCAGTGCCACAGCAGCAAGTGTATCTCCCGTGACTTTCACACAGTAACCGTGTGTGGGAGGCTCATGGGAGCTGTAGTTTTCAAACGGGGAAAGCGGAGGCCTTCCGTTCGGGAGGAGCTGCTCCGGCTGCTGCCTCTCTCTCACGGCATGTCGGGGCTTGCTGCACGCAGATGGAGGCAAGATGTGCTCAGCATAGCTTTCATGTCGTGTCTTGTCCATTCAATAATGCATAGTTAACAGAGTATGTGAAGGTCAGAGGGCAGTAGAAGGAGCTAGCATCCTCTGGAAAGGAAGTACACCCCCTTTTAGAGGTGTGACACATGTGATATATAAGGAGAATTGTGTGGGCCTAAGCAGGTCTTCAAGAAATCCAACTCAGACTAATAGACAGAATATGGTAGATTGCTTAGGTAGCAAAGCTGGAATCGTTCCAGGTGAATTAATGGGATCTTTTTTCTGTTGTTGCTTTCATAGGTGGCCTTTTTTAACCAATGTTTTGTTAGGTAAAGAGGAATCTGTGTGGTCATTAATGCAAATAAGCTGGAAATCTTTCAGTAGTGAAGGCTAGGAATATGAACATAGCTGATAAAACAAAGTTGATCTGATGGAAATCCCTCTGAGTATCACACGCAGGGGAAATGTTCAGAATCATCCAGTCATTCAGCCTCTATGGAAAGGTGTATCCAGACCTTTGACTGCTGATTTCTAGACCTCTAAACTACTGAAACTCCTTTTTTGAAACCCTCAGTTCTACTGCAAGCTGCTGAGGCCACATCTTTGACCCCAAAGTCTTCTAAAAAGCCAAGTAGGTTTTGATAATACCATGAAATAAAAATAATGTATCTACAGTGTTAAAGTTTAATTAGCTACTAGCTAACTTGTATCTCCCGCTGGTATCAAAATTGATCTTGTTTTTTCTGCCTCTTGCAAGAAACCTTTCTGTACATCATTTGAAAATATATTGAAGATCATTCCATTTCTTAATCTATTTATAGATCTGTTCTTTGCTTTGGAAAAATGTTTTCATATGCATTTTAAAAAATCTTATCCAATGGAAAAATGCCAAATATGTCTTCACATGTCTGCTTCACATGAACTGATGCTGGTAGAAAGTCGTTGTTTATTTATAAATCGCCCAATTTGGAGCATTAATTCAAATGATTTAACGAAGGTTCCTGTGGAAAATTCCATGGGATTTAGCTGGAATGTTCTGGATGATATGGTGGTTTGGTGGCTTGTGCAGTTGCACCACAGAAAGAGGGCTCCTGGTTTTGGGGGCAATTCTGTGAGGAGCATGGTGGGCTTGTGGTTGTTTGTTCCAATGTGGCCCTGTGATGGACTGCTGACCTGTCCAGGGTGTACCCCCCCCTCTCACAATGGCAGCTAGAATAGGCTCTACCCACCAGAGACTCTAATAAGAATAAGCATTATGGAGAACGAATGAATGAATGAGAAGGGATAGAGGCTTTCAGTGCCTCACATCATTGTTGGGGATCTGTGGCCCATTCCTTTTCTGTATCTATATCTATTTATTTTGGCATTTTAATCATTTGGAGTTCTAGACTTTGACCACCTTTCTTTTTCAGACATTCTGTGGTAGATTTGCTGCAGTGTTTGGGATATTTTCTGCCGTTGATGACCCAGTTAGAGCCCAGCTTTAGCCGTCAGACGCACGACCTCACATCGGTTTGTGGAATCATTTGGGATACGGAGGAGCTCCTGGACTCAGGGGCTGAAAGGTTTCCCGGTCCTGTGGCTGCAGAACAAACCCAGAACATCAGCCCTCCTCCAGCTGGCAGTCGGTTGGTCGTAGCTCTTGGATTGTTTTGACAGTTTCTCTGGGGATTGTAGAGTCTGATCCTGGGGTGAACTGTCCACTGCCGGGGAGACTGGTAGCTGTCTTGAGTGTTTTCCACCTGTGAATAATCTCTGTCACTGGAGAATGATGGAGTCCAATTAGTCTGGGAAAGGCCTGTTAACCCTTTACAGCAGCTTCTCTAAGATTGTTCACAATATACGTATATCCTCCTTGATATTGTGTCAACACGCATCACAAGGCTTCTGCTTCTATAGAGGTGCTCACACTTGGATGATCATCTAATCAAATTCAACTGACCTAGCACATGCATGTTTTTGGACGGGGGGGAGGAGGCCGGAGTGCCCTGGGACATTTAGCGGAAACATTCATTTAGGATCCTTTCAAATTCCTATAGTGCTTATGGGTTGTTCTGAAATCTGTGCAGGGAAATCCGGGTTTGTTTTCATCGTAAGGCATACATTTATGGGGAGGTACGCATCATGCTGAAGCTTAGGGGCGGCATGTCTGCTAATTTAACTAAGACTGCCGATCAAATCTGAGTTGTTAGTCCTTTAAATAGGCCATTCTGGACATGTGAAACATCCATTAGCCAAAATTACCACCATAACTGCAGTCCACTGACTCAGCCCACTTATTTCTGTCTCTTTTTCTGGCAGATTACTGGATTCCTATACGTTTGGCTTGTTAGCTGATGAGTCACTCACTTGCCACTCTCCATCTTGCCATTTATCTTAGGAACCCCAGACTAATGACGGTCAAGAAAGGCCCCCATTTTCCGGGCCTTATGCTCGAAACGCAGAAGATCCCAGCTGAAATAGTAATAAATGACTCTACGGGAAAGGTGCGAGGCTCATCAAGATGATTGCAGCTGATGGGCAAAAGGTGCACGTTCAAAAAATGATAGCTCTCGTCTCTCATGAGCAAAACAGGAAGTCATTAATGAACGAGCTGCTAAGTCCGCAGAGGGTTGGATGTGTGCAGAACTCTGGGTTTGATGGATGGTACAACAAAACATCATAACTTAGTGATGCACTAGACTTAAAAAAATCTGCCTCTGCTTGTGCCTTGGCATAACAACGTATCAAATGTCCAGTCAGGGCTGCGCGCACGGCCGGAATGACCCTACTGCTAAACCTCATGGAGGCTTTTCTATGCCAATGCAACAAATAACAGAGAGAATGTTTTTTAAAACTTTTTTCATCTCAATCTAACGTGTTTTTTGTGCTTGAATGAAAGTGTCTGAAGTAGCACGTTAGCTTGCCGGTCTCACAGTTTGCAGAGTGTTGTTTGTATTGAGTGTCTTAATGATTAAAACGAGCTGCTGCGGGGTTGGTTTTAGAGTCAGCTCAGCAGACTCCTTTCCATGTAAAGGGGTTAGAGACAATGCAGCTCGTATATCAAGTCTGGTTCAATGCTGTTATACGATCTAATGTATCACTTAAGCCCCCATTAACTCCGGCGGCGGCCACTTAAAGCCGTGTTCTCTGGGAGTTTGGACTGACGGTGAAAATGCGGGCTGTTTGGTTTCGGTGTGTTCTGCTTGTTTTTGATTCTTCCTCACATCATATACAGCAGTTGTCAGGGTAACGACCCAGACGTTCCTGTAATAAGGAGCAGTCTGAATGCAGCAGGGAGCAGCGGAGGCCCATACATGCTCGGGTCGAACAGAAAGGTGTAGGTGGAGTTTGATAATAGCGCTTCAGACAGCAACAAAAGCCGACCGGTACATCGATTTGTTTGGACTCTCACGGTGTAAAGTGAATTATTAGAAAAAACAAGATGGACTCTGGTTATTTTGCTGGCTTTGTGTAAGAGGAGAGACGCAGTCAGCTGATGAAAACAAAACAGTTTAACGGCAGAGCCAGAACAACCTGAGCAGACTGCTGACGGCTGACTAAGGCTTTGTGCATATGTGCTCAGGTAACGGTTACATTTGTATCTTTTGATTTGCTCAGCTCTCTGTGGGAGTTTTAGTCCCGCGCTAATGGAGTTTTACTGCTGAGTTGTAACATTTGACATTTCTCTTACCAAAACACAGAGACGAAAAAGGGTAAATTGGAACTGTAATAGTCCTGCTTAGGCCTATTTAGTGCCAAACAGTACCTCATTATAAGTGCAAACTTAATTACAGTGTTCACCTGGAGTTAACTCTATGCTGGCACATATAAAACCACTGCTGGTTTTAGGTCATTTCTGAGCTGGTTTCTTTTTTGATATAGTAGATATTCATTTTTATGGGAGATTCTATCCATGGTAGGATATTCCATCAATCAATGAGGGCTTCAGCTCTGTGTCGGAGATATGAAAGCATTTCCAAACCAAATCTCTCTGTCTCTCACGAGGCCTCCTTCTGGTGGGGAGTGCCCAAAACACTTTGTTTAAGCGGCATCTGACGGAAACCCTGAAAAGATCCCCGAAACCACCATAGCAGCCTTCAAAACTCGCATTCTAGTTCTCGTGTTCACTAACTACTGCTCATGAGCACAGATGATGGCAGGGACAGACTGGATAACAGCTCTCCCTTTTGGCCGAGCTCTCTCTTCACTAGGACAACCAG